TATTGCAGATGGTGCTCAAACTATAGCTTGTGTTAGTTCGTTTAATTATTTTATAAATATAAATTCCTGCGATACGCACCTGTTCGGCTTCCATTAAATAAAGCTTACGGGTACATCTCTTTTTATTATTTTTAATTCGATAACATTTAGACTTAATTGAAATAAATGATTTCACAAGGAAAAAAATGATTACCAATAGCCTGATAATGATCATTATAATTGTACACCATTTAAACAGGTCTTCTTGCTCTTGTTTCAAAATATAGAACAAAAGCTATTATGATACTGAATCAATACAAAAAAGATAACGAACGCCATTAATTGCTACAAGTCCAATAGATTCACGACAAAATATGCGGACAAAGGCGTCCCATCGTTGGAAACTGGAAGCCTATTGGTTGGATCAAAGGCGTCCCATCGTTGGAAACTGGAAGCCTATTGGTTGGATCAAAGGCGTCCCATCGTTGGAAACTGGAAGCCTATTGGTTGGATCAAAGGCGTCCCATCGTTGGCAACTGGAAGCCTATTGGTTGGATCAAAGGCGTCCCATCGTTGGAAACTGGAAGCCTATTGGTTGGATCAAAGGCGTCCCATCGTTGGAAACTGGAAGCCTATTGGTTGGATCAAAGGCGTCCCATCGTTGGAAACTGGAAGCCTATTGGTTGGATCAAAGGCGTCCCATCGTTGGAAACTGGAAGCCTATTGGTTGGATCAAAGGCGTCCCATCGTTGGAAACTGGAAGCCTATTGGTTGGATCAAAGGCGTCCCATCGTTGGAAACTGGAAGCCTATTGGTTGGATCAAAGGCGTCCCATCGTTGGAAACTGGAAGCCTATTGGTTGGATCAAAGGCGTCCCATCGTTGGAAACTGGAAGCCTATTGGTTGGATCAAAGGCGTCCCATCGTTGGAAACTGGAAGCCTATTGGTTGGATCAAAGGCGTCCCATCGTTGGAAACTGGAAGCCTATTGGTTGGATCAAAGGCGTCCCACTGTCGTTGGAAACTGGAAGCCTATTGGTTGGATCAAAGGCGTCCCATCGTTGGAAACTGGAAGCCTATTGGTTGGATCAAAGGCGTCCCATCGTTGGAAACTGGAAGCCTATTGGTTGGATCAAAGCCGCCACCCGGCTAACTAATAACTGTTCTTCCCCCACATGATGTCACCCACGACAGTTAACTCCCGGATACGTATTTACTGCGAGGTGAACAGAGGCATCGGGTGTGCTCCCCCCCCCCCCCCCCCAAGACGTCTCTCGCCATGGCCGGCAAGCATACCCAGGTCTAATTTGGCTGTGAGACTCCTGTGCTGTCCACTCAAGGAGTTGTTGCACTTTGATGTTACTTCAAGGACACGTCTTAATCCCACCCTTAATGAGTAACCTTAACTACTGTAGATACGGGGCAACCTTAACTGCTGTAAATATGGAGATCTGATGTCACCTGATTTCAAAGGATATGTAAGACTAAAACGGGATTCCAGACAGGAAAGCACCATAGCTTTCAAGAGTGCCACTCTGGGGCCAGGTATCATGTTTCAAAGTTTTGTAGAACCATCCAATTACTTCTCCATAAAGGCTAGGTCGTGTTATTATTAGTATTATCTCCCGGATCCCTTACCTGTTTCTTCCAACTGTGATAAGATCAGATTGCGTCTTGCATCCTGTACCTGCTTTTAAGTTCTTCACTCTTTCCATAACTGAGTAGTTAGCATTTTGTTACCCACTAGAAAATTTTGCTGCTATGTTTATAGTTTTTAATATCTGTTACTGAATCAATTATAAATAGGAAGTTGTGGTTCGAATTCTTGTCAGTATCAGACGTGAGTGTAGCTTCATCTCTACCATTCTTAAGACTTGTTTTATCTGATTTCTTGCCAGCCGCTGAAAAAGTCCTAAATTTTTTATGTTAATCTCGCCATTCGTACGGCTACCTCTCGAGTGGAAGAGGCTCCACGTCTGCATCTTTCAAGTTCCTGCGAGATCTCACTCGTTTCCAGACCTGTGATACATTGCATTATTGAAGGCAGGCACTATAGTGCTTTGGAGTTTCTTTGTGAATTTGGAGTTTTAGAACCAAGTGTCAGGTATCACCATGCATTTACATGTCCATTTACGAAACATGAACATCATGCCTCAGTCACAGTGACTTATAGATTGTACTTAATAGTTTATGAGCTGGAAAACGCTGTAAGGTTTTCTTTAACAATCATAACCTTCCTTATCTTGAGGTTATCTTGAGATGATTTCGGGGCTTAACGTTCCCGCGGCCCGGTCCTCGACCAGGCCTCCTTTCTGTTACACCCACACCCCCAGGAAGCAGCCCGTAGCAGCTGTCTAACTCCCAGGTACCTATTTACTGTTAGGTAATCAGGGTGACAGAAACATTTTGCCCATTTGTCTCCGCTTCCACCGGGGATCGAACCCGGAACCTCAGGACTACCAATCCGAAGCGCTGTCCACCCAGCTGTCAAACAGGCTGAGTAATGTTTTGATGAATTATGGTATTGTTACACTGCTCAGAGGGTTGGAAAGGCGGGGCTATGGAGCTGATGTTCGACCTTATAAAGCAAATATGAGGCGAATACTCACACACACGCGGATCTGGACATACTCCAGAAGTCAACTCATCCTCCTGAAATGAGGAGGTAAACCCAGTAAATGGGTCTGTAAACCCATTGTAACCAATGGGTTACAACCCATTGTAACTATTTGGGCAAAACTACAAAGATGTAGTGATGGACTGCCAGTATAAACCAATTTTTTAGTACTATTAATTGTATATTATTCGGACAAAAACTCCCAACCACTTGGGCTGGACGGTAGAGCGACCGTCTCGCTTCATGCAGGTCGGTCCCAATCAATCCCCGACCGTCCAAGTGGTTAGGCACCATTCCTTTCCCCCGTCCCATCCCAAATCCTTTTCCTGACCCCTTCCAAGTGCTATATTGTCGTAATGACTTGGTGCTTTCCTGATAATTTCCTCCTCGGACAAAAAATACAGCTAAAACTAAACTTAAATATTCCCAAAGTGGGAATGTCAAAATCAAATGAGTCACAGCGACGTTACACAGACATTTTTTTTACATTAATCTAAGAACGTTCGGAAGGTGTTTTTTTTTCTTCTACCACAGACGTGGCCAGACATTTACAATGCTAACCAGCATATATACATTTTCTTCTGTCCTCCATGGACAGGGTTAGAGATGTGTTAAACATATAGTTCAGGGGTTTATTGAACAATCAACCACAGAAGGTGATTGGGTGCTTTTAAAATGCTAAGCTAACCTACATACGGGAAGATGGTGTTAGGAGCCTAATTCGAATCCCGGCCAGCACATCGAGGTGAGTACATCTAGGTGAGTATATCTAGGTGAGCACACGAACAGAGACCTACAAGGGTGTCACTGGGGCCTCGCGGCTGAGTGGACAGCGCTCGCGGGATCGCAGTCCTGATGGCCGGGGTTCGATTCCCGGCGGAAACCAACGGCCAGAGTTTCTTTCACTCTGATGCTTCTGTTCACCAAGCAGTAAATAGGTACCTGGGAGTTAGACAGCTGCTACGAGCTGCTTCCTGGGGATGTGTGTGTGTGTTTTAGAGAGAAATATATGTAGTAGACACAACACAGGAAAAATAGATTGGTAGGAAAGGCGGGGTCCAAGAGCTAAATAGCTCGATTCTGCACACACACAAATAGTAAATACGACTTAACCAGAATTAAAATGGGCTTTCAGGATGCTTTTCGTTTCTATTAAACACCTCATAATCCTGTCTTGCACGAACACCATTATGTATTGACAAAGGCCTCGCTGCTCTCCGCATCTCGTCGCATCCAGATTCCACAAATCCAGAGACCCCCCACACACAGCAGCGTGAAATAATCCTCTTGTGTAAATCCTATATAATCCCACGGCCGTTCCAGCGGCGCGGGGCCATTAGGGCCACTCGCGTTATGTCCTTTGACGATGTCCATATGTTTGGTCATCCATTACCACCACCTGTACTGTTCTCTGTTCAGGACACGTTTGTGTCCTGTCCTGAACAGAGACATACGTGTATGTTCAGTGTGTGTGTGTGTGTGTGTGTGTGTGTGTGTGTGTGTGTGTGTGTGTGTGTGAGTGTGTGTGTGTGTGTGTGTAGTTAGTTACATAATGATTTAAGTTTTGTAATTGGATTAGGGGGGACGCCAGGACTAGCCTGTGGCTCTCCTCAAGGAAGGGGGGGGGGACAGTAAAGTGGACTCCTGCAGTGTTCTACCAGTAAGTGGACTAACCAACAATAAAGCCACTTATCCCAATTAGTCCACTACACCCTCAGCTGCGCATCCGAGTCGTGTTTAGTCCCCCAGCTGCGCATCAGGTGCGTTTGAGAGGTCGAACGAGCATTCTAACATACAAAACAAATCTGGGATTTTAGCATATTTGGTTTAATTTAGGTATTAAGAGTCCCATAAGACGACTCTTGAGACGTCTTATATAACAGCTTGAGACGACTCTCAAGCTTTATCTTGGGATCAAAGCTGCTTGGGGAAGCCATAATGAAGAACTCCCAATCTTTGTTAATCAGAAAAGCTGCCCCGTCAAATGTATGTAACTAGATTATATTAGATTTAAGAGATTTCTAGTAATTTGTAATGGCACTTTGACGAACTAAAGCTCCATCAGTTCGTGTCGCCTGGAATGACCTATGGTGACCTGGACTGATCTATGGTGACCTGGAATGACCTATGGTGACCTGGAATGACCTATGATAACCTGGAATGACCTATGATAACCTGGAATGATCTATGATAACCTGGAATGACCTATGATAACCTGGAATGATCTATGATAACCTGGAATGACCTATGATAACCTGGAATGACCTATGGTGACCTGGAATGACCTATGGTGACGCAGACTGACCTTACGTGACCTGGACTGACCTATGGTGACGCAGACTGACCTTACGTGACCTGGACTGACCTATGGTGACACAGACTGACCTTACGTGACCTGGACTGAC